CTACCCGTGGCAAAAAAAGATACCCTAGAACTTTAAAGTGATGATAGGTGTAGCGTTTCTCTAGAGATGTACTCTTAACCTCCTACAGATCCTTGACATTGGTAAGGCAGTAAATAATATTTTCTACTACGTTTTGAGGAAATAGAAAAGAGGAAGATAGTCGCTCTTCTCCAAGGTTAGACAGGAAATAGCAGCAGTGTTGCATATTTTTTAATGGTTCATCAGGCTGCTTGCAAAAGAAGCAAGACTCTTTCCTTCTGTATATATCCTCTGCCACCTGAAAACAGATGAAGCCACTCATGCAAATCTAGCAATATTTTATTGTTCTTTGGACCCTGTAGTAGTTGTAATGTCTGAAGAATGGGGCACATTCACAGCATTAAGATGCAGCACTGCACCATCACAGGAATCCAAGCAAAATGACACCTTCTGCAATGTCAAAGAGCAACTTCCTGGCAAAGTTTTACCAAGTAGCAGTAAAGTTCTCTCCTAAAAACATTGTTCTCATCATTCTCTCAGTAGCAGGAGAACAGCGAGACTCAGTGGAAAAGCATATGCCAGAGCCAGTGGCAGCAACACATGTAGACACGGAAGAGCTAAAGTTGACCCTGTGTGAAGTTCTTGATTTTGTTCATGTTGTGATCTACTGCATCAGTTAGAAACTGCACCCAGCCTTCCTCTGATGGCGGACATACATGGCTTGTCCTGCAAAAGTGGAGGAAATTCATTAGGAAAGCCTCCTGGGTGTCTTACACCTATGCATCCAGACAACATATGGGTATTGTGAACTGCTGAATTACCACAGCATTAAAAAAGGACTATAGCCCCGGAGTGCTTCGAGCAAGGAAGAACCCACATCCGTGTCTCTAGTCCCAAAACCTAACACGTAAGTGCGTGTCTTCAGTGGGAACCACTCTCATCCTTACCATCCTTTTGTGAGTGGATAACATCATAATTATTCCAAAATGCTAGCATTTACTGTCTAGAAATGAGTCATCTTTGACAGGAGACAGAAAGACATCAACCTTCATAGCAGGAAATGCTTGTAAAACTGTAGCTCATACTCACTTTGTAATCTCTAAGACTTTCTTTAATACCGAGGCCAACTTAGCAGCCTAGAAAGAAACAAAAGGGAAATAAAGTGAGTCAATAATGGAAAGAAGGGGGCTCAGCAGTACTGGAAAAGAAACGGGGGGTGCAGGGATGCCCAACACAGCCAAGAATGAGTAAAACTGCCACAGATCCTGATGCAGAAGCTCTCCATCACTGCCATGCTCGGAGTGTTTCCCAGCCTACTGCTGGCTGGGATGGGCGAAAATAAAGACAGGCTATTTTTTAAAGCATACGTTAAAAAGCTTTTTTTCTTTAAAGAGATAAGCCTGTTAGAAATCGGTAACTGATTTAAGGCATGAAGTTACAAGTGACTGACTGTAACACAAATTGATACTAAGTGATACTTTTTTTTTTTTTTTTACCCCCAAAAAATCAAGCCACTGGCAAGGCATGAAACCAGATTCAACTATAAAAAAAAATCTCAGATATGAGAAGATACGTACTTAATTTATGATGGAAGGGGCCCCTGGAACTCATCTAGTACAACCCCCTGCTTAACACAAGGCCTACCTCAAAGTTCTGTCAGGTTGCTCAGAGTGAAATTTTGAGTATTGCCAAAGATGAGAGATTCCACTGCTCCTCTGAGCAGCTTGTTTCAGCGCTTAACCACGATCACTGTGAGAAGTTTTAATTAGTATTTTTAATTTAGACAACTTTATTTGAGCAAGTCTACAATACCCAAGGAAGAAAGCAGACGTGCAGTACATCCACAGCCTTAGGCCTCACTTTCTTGAGGTCTCTATGGATTACAGTTCAGAGCCAAAGCTCAAGTGGCTATGCTCTTCCCTCAAGAAGTAAAGATGAGGAACACATTTCCATCTGAAGGAACCTACATGTGCAAGAACCAAAGGGGACTCTTCATCCCTAAGAACTTGTTACTGAGACAGGCACTGACACCTACCTCTCTCTGACAGTAACATAATCTCTCTAATTTGATTTTTTCCCCTTCTCTACAGCCAAGTGAGTAGACCCGCATGCAGGCTGCAGATACTTACATTGAGTCGCACAGCTAACTCATTCACAGGTGGATACATGCTCAGTGCCAGCTCATCAACACTGGAATAGAAAAGAGGGGAGCAATGGAAGAAAAGTCCTGATAGCACAACTCATGGATCCTGGTCAAAGCCTACACCCACCCTGAATGTAAGTCAGGAACTGCAGTGCATAACACAGAGATGTCAGTCATACCCATGGGATGCTTCTCAGTGCCTTCTCAGACATCTGTGTGCCACTCTCACCTTAGAGTGAGACGTGGCCATGGCTCCACCCCAAGCTGTTCCTCTCCTAACTTACACAACTCTCAACAGCCTATGCCATAATAGTTTTCCCACATCTGCTTCCACCACCTGCTGACAGCTTCAATATCATAAAGGTTTTCCTAATCCATTCTCTAGACCTCAAGAAAGACAGGGACTGCTCTGAACCAAAAGGCAGCACGGGGAGAGACCTGCTTACCTTGGACTGATCTCATTAGCGATGTCTGCAAGGTCATCCAGCTGAGCGATCTGCTCTGGAGAATCAACTTTGCCATAAGCCTTCACTACACCCAAGACCTTCTTCAGGCAAGCTTTAGAAGCCTTCATTAATCCCATGCAGGAGCTAAGCAGCTTCCGGTCAGCTTCTGACCAATATGTATCTCTGTTGCCCCGAAAGCCCAGCTCTTCATCTTCCATGATGTCACTGTAGGGGTCTTGCCCTTCCACCAGAGCCTGAGAACACAGATGCACACTGAAAACTCAGAGCCCAACATTAATTCCATCAATTTCCCATGAAAGGGAAAACATAATCTGTTAACCCTAGCAAGACTGGATTAAAAAAAACTATTCCTCCACTCCAATTTGACACAGCAAACAGCAAGAACCTGGCAAATAGTGCCATTCTTACATCAACCTAAACAGCCTCACTGCCCCACCCAGTGCGCAGCCCCCGCAATTCAGGACATGGCTTTATGGAAAACTTATACAAAAGTAAACCAGGCTTGAGTTTAAAAACTCATTAAGATCCAGGAATAATACAATAATCTAGCTCATACCAGAATACATTTAAATCAAAGCCTGTATATAAAACAATCCCTGTGTTCCATTACTGAACCATCACTGCAATCCACCACTGCAGGTTCCTCAAAGGCTTACATGTTCCATCTCCTCCAGAGCATCCTTGACCACACCTAGACATGCAGCCAGAGCCGATGCAACTGCAGCCTGGTTATCTGCAAAAGTAAAAGGATGAAAACTGTGGGACTGCACTGACTCACATCAGCTTGCAACAATGTTTACCTATGTTTGCGATTATTAGATCTTGAGATTATAGGATCAAACCTTTTGCAGAGCTCTGAGCTGCAGTGTTGCCATGCAAAGAATCCGGCCTGGCTTCCAAGCTTATACATTTCAGAGACAGTCAGGTTCGGCACAATGACTGAGCCTTCACTGTACTAGCTAGAACGCCCCTTGCAAGAGCTACTGACATTCCAAGACAACGCACCCTAGTTTTGTTGTTCTGCATATACAATACTCACCTCGTGGCAGGCTGGACACTTGCTCACATGCCTCCCACACACCACCAGTTGATATAAGCTGTTCCTGAGACAAGCTGAAACAAAACAAAGCCCCCAGAGTTAGACTCAATAACACCACTCTCCTAGACTGTGTTTTTATTTTCTGCACCAAAGATGATGCACACTAGTAGAACCTCTGTTGGAAAGATGTCACCAACCAGCTTGTCACGTCTGTGTAAAGCAAGAAGTGCAGCTCCTACTGACTTTAATTATCTTTTAGAACAAGAAGCAGGAGCCTCTTACAAAGGCCTCTCAAGGTGCTTAGGCATACTATTTAACTTTCAGAATCCATGCAAATCAGAAGTCTGCACTAGAGATTGACGACCTCTGTCTAAGAGAGAAAGAGGTCCATAGTGGTCCAATAACTACCCTTATAAAGTTGTGCAATCATTGCGTCTGACAGTTCACTCCAAGGGCAAAAACTGCAAAACAGTGCAAATGCTATCCAATACTTTCATGGGAATCCTGCTTCCAGCATCTTTCCTTGCCACAGACAGGATGAAAATCTATTCTCCATGTAGGCAAACATACCTCACTCATTCACTGGGACAAGTCAGGGCCTTGAGTGTATTCCACCCTCCTAGGAGTTTAGCTGGCTCAGGTGAAGAGTTTATTGGCTAAGTACAAGGCCAGCTCCTTTGCTGACAGGAGGCATTGCAAAGAAAGCTAAAAGTGAGGGTCAGCCCCTCTGTACCCTAGGAGGTGCTTTTACCCCGAGGCTCTTTCACTGGGCCCTGTTTGGGCTACATCACAGCTCTGTGGCAGTTATGTCTGCACCCAGTCTCATACCCCCTTGACTCTGATGTGGATCCTGACCCACTGACTTGACCTTCCTGCCTTGACCTGAGACCCAACTCATTGTAATGGATGTGCTGGGCAACCACTGGACGGTGTCTGATACTGGTTACTCTCTCTGGACCTGACCCAGATCCTGACTTTCCAGCTTGACCTCATTGCTATGGGCTTGTCTGATGATCTGGACTCTCAGCTGAACCTCACTACCCTCACCAGCACTGCTCTGCTCACTTAGATACCGGAGGACAGGGTCTTTGCTGATGAGGCCACTGCCTCTTCCTGCCTCACAACCACGCTCCACTTCTGCCTCCCCCTTCCCTTAGGAAGCACTTTGCACTTGCTGCTTCCTAACAAGTACACTTGTAACTTTTTTTTCCTTTTTTTTTTTTCCCCAGAAAATTACTACCTCTCCAATGGAGCACTGAGAATTGTTTCTGTGAGTTGGATCATTCCTTCCACTACTTCAGTGGTAGCGTCTCGTACCATCTTCCGAAGCGTAGTACCTGGTTGAGATTGAGAAAGAGCAAGAAAGTTGGCACAAAGTCAGCACCAACAGAAAGCAAATGCTGAAAATGAACACACAGACTGCTCCGTTTGCGCAGGTACACTGTGTAAATGAAGTTACAGGTATTTTGAAGGAAGCAATGTGTTTCCGACTTCCAAAATTACTTTGGACAAGAATATCTACACTTTATAAATGTGAATACTCAATAAACCATATAACTTCCTACATTATCACTCTTTCACAGATGGCAATCTGCAGGAGTAAAGAGAGAAGCGGTTCATGCATAAACACATTACAAATCTACAAAACAGCTGATAATGGGACCACCTGCTCAAGATAATTGCTTTCCTACAGATGCCAGATCTCATATATCTGAAATACTGGGTTTCTTCATACAGAGGTGAAGGAACCACCACCCTATATAGTGGTGACTGCCCTGCTGTCACTATCTCACCTTGGCCCTTGGGGAGCCAGTAGTACACTGTGGCAACTGCAAGAATGGCGTTTTGGACATCTTCACTCAGCTTCCGGCAATCCTGCAAATGGATAGGCAAAAGGATTAACCGTGAGAAGCACATGGCTGCACTGCATTTAGGAAGTCTCACAAGCAATCACTTACATTCAGATTGCTTTGAGAAAAGGGAAGCATAGTAATGGCCATCTTGCTTGAGAAACAAATACAGCACAACAAGAAGATGCAGTAAGGAAGCTGTATACATCATATGCAACCTCATGATTTGGTAATAAAACGCGCTCTGGTGTGGTGGTCATGCATCAGAGCACAAGGAGTTGCTGAGACCATTATACTGAACTGGAGGTCTTTTTCTTCTCCTCCAAACACAGGTGTGATAAACTTCTCTCAATTAATAGCAAAAATATTGCATATTCTTTGTTAGATCTAAGGTCTGTGTTGTCTAATATGCCGTCTCTTATCAGCAACCAGCTGTAGATGTCAAAGAGGACAATGTAAGAATACTTCTATTTGGTATGCCTCCCTAACTTACAGAAATTGGTACTCGGCAATTTTTGAATTGGATTAATACACTCTACAATACATAGCCCATACCGACATCCCTTGTTTGCACTGAATCAAAAGAATGTTTTAGGCAAATCAAGTGTTTTAGACAAATGAACTGAGAGACAGCTGAAACTTGTCACATGCACTGCAATTTCATAGTCTGAGGGGGCTTTTGCTCACCTCTGCAGAAGTCAGTGGAGGCCCTGAGAATGCCAGACTCAGCTTTGTAGCTTCCTGTGACGTTACTTTGAAGGTCTGACCTAGAAAGGATTCAACAGGAGCAAAAGGATAGAAAGTAGCTTGGGTAAAAGATAAGAGAACTGAGCAGCTAAATGATCAACATCTCTGATGCTACCTTGCCCTACTGCTTCATTACCGTTTCTTCCTTCCAAGCAATAGGAAGACATAAATTAAATCCCACTACAGAAGAAAAAAATCCATGGTGTATTTGTGCCGTGTATGTGTCCTATGTCTGCTTTTTTTCAAGTTAGTAGCAATAGCCACAAACACATTTTGTGTCCTGGTCCATGACACCTTCACCAGGATGTGCAGTGAGGCTTTAACAGAGACCGAAGGCTTTACAACAATCGAGTGGTGACAACTGATCGATCCTGTCCGCTGCTCTGCCAACGCCACCACCGCGGAGCGGAGGGCGAGTGGCTGGAGACCCTCCGGGGATCT